CAATATAAAATACTGTTTTAGTCATAAGTCCTATTTTTGATTAAATATATCCCCCTCCTCCTCGTGTGCATTAAAGGTCTCCTATTACGCAAGTCACTCCCTGATGTCTTCTCTACATCACCATGTGTGTGTCCGGTGTGTGTGTCCGGTGTGTGTGTCCGGTGTGTGTCAGGTGTGTGTGTGTCCGGTGTGTGTGTCCGGTGTGGTGGTCCGTGTGTGTGTGTCCGGTGTGTGTGTCAGGTGTGTGTGTGTCCGGTGTGTGTGTCAGGTGTGTGTCCGGTGTGTGTGTCCGGTGTGTGTGTCCGGTGTGTGTGTCCGGTGTGTGTGTCCGGTGTGTGTGTCCGGTGTGTGTGTCAGGTGTGTGTCCGGTGTGTGTGTCCGGTGTGTGTGTCAGGTGTGTGTGTGTCCGGTGTGTGTGTCCGGTGTGTGTGTCCGGTGTGTGTGTCAGGTGTGTGTGTGTCCGGTGTGTGTGTCAGGTGTGTGTCCGGTGTGTGTGTCCGGTGTGTGTGTCCGGTGTGTGTGTGTCAGGTGTGTGTGTCAGGTGTGTGTGTGTCCGGTGTGTGTGTCCGGTGTGTGTGTCCGGTGTGTGTGTCCGGTGTGTGTGTGTCAGGTGTGTGTGTGTCCGGTGTGTGTGTCAGGTGTGTGTCCGGTGTGTGTGTGTCAGGTGTGTGTCCCAGGTGTGTGTCCGGAGGAAATAAAACCCTCTCTCTTTTCCTCCGTACCCACATCTCTAGAAACGGGGGAACAACGGAGCTGATCTAGATTTGCTGTGTCTCTCTCTCTCTCCCAGGTGTCCCAGCAGAGCGTGGAGAACAGGATGAGTCCCTCTAACCTCTCTCTCTCTCTCTCTCCCAGGTGTCCCAGCAGAGCGTGGAGAACAGGATGAGTCCCTCTAACCTCTCTCTCTCTCTCTCCCAGGTGTCCCAGCAGAGCGTGGAGAACAGGATGAGTCCCTCTAACCCTCTCTCTCTCTCTCTCCCAGGTGTCCCAGCAGAGCGTGGAGAACAGGATGAGTCCCTCTAACCTCTCTCTCTCTCTCTCCCAGGTGTCCCAGCAGAGCGTGGAGAACAGGATGAGTCCCTCTAACCTCTCTCTCTCTCTCTCTCCCAGGTGTCCCAGCAGAGCGTGGAGAACAGGATGAGTCCCTCTAACCTCTCTCTCTCTCTCTCCCAGGTGTCCCAGCAGAGCGTGGAGAACAGGATGAGTCCCTCTAACCTCTCGTGTGTGTTCGGGGTGAATCTCCTCCGCCCTCCTCACGGCTCCCTCTCTCTCTCCTCTCTGACGCCCATCAACATGTTCACAGAGATCCTGATCCAGCACTTCCCCTCTGTGTTCGGGTCGCGCTGCCCCCCCCGCCCAGATCACCCCCTGACGCTGACCACACAACCTCTACCAAGAACAAAACACTGCTTTTTACCGATATTATAATAAACAAAATAATTACAACTTTTTATGGACACTCCAAGATTTTCAAAATAAAAGATCTCAAGATTAGATGGAGGTATGTTTCTTCTTACGATCCGAAATCTAAAATCCACGAAGAACGACTGACTTTTTTCTATATTTTTATATTTTTTTCACTTATTGTTCGTATACTGTGCATGATTTTCAAAATAAAATACGGCTCTGACGTTCCCTCTGGAAAGAAAAGCCAAAATCTAAGAGTCCAACAATATCTCCAGTTCTTAAAATATAAGAAGAAGAACGTGGGAGAATTTCAAAATAAAATGTCCCTGTAATTATTCATCGTTACCCGGAGGATGTCGTCCTAAAAAACTCAGATTTTTTCCGTATCTTTCCTAAAATACCAACGTCTAAAAGCTGCCGTAAACTCCTGCTCCCCAGAGGATACACCGTCACATTATTTTGGTAGTTTTCGTGTAATGTTTGCACAGTTAGCTCAGATATGTGTTTTCATACAGAGAACGGGATGCCACGACATCTGACACACGTTTTATTACAAATATTGTTAAAAAGTTTTTTTTATAAGTGTTCACTGAAACACACTTCTGTATCATGCTTTGTTTTTTACACTGTTACCTGCAATGAGTTGATTGTGTTGATTATTGTGTTGACATGTTGTTGTTGTTTTTCTCACATTACTTTATGACTAAAGGAATGTAGAAAATGAGCAATTTGAAATGAGTCAAAGCAATGATGTCGTGAAAAGAAGGTCATTTTTAAAGCATTTCATTAAAAAGAATTAAAGAAATAAAAAAAGTTGTTTGTATAGTTTGTGATTAAAATATGGGAGAAAACATCCAACAATTTTGATAGTTAGCAATATACTATGTTGTTTTTTTGACTTTTTCGACATACCATGACTTTATTTCAACTTTTTCAACTTCGTACTAGGACATAAAGTAAGAGTAAAATATATCCCAAAGAAAATTATGTCGAAAATATGAGGAATGTAATGTAAAAGACAAATCACCAAAAAAGACTAGTATGTATAAAGAAAGTCACATTCTGTTCACTCAGTATCATCATCACTGTTATCGGCACTTCACGATAATAAAAACACGGGTTATTTGTGGTGAAAAACAGAAACACAGATTTGTTCTTGAATTTTCTTTATTAATGAATCCATTTTTTGTAAGAACTTGGTACAAAAAAGTGAGACTACTCTTTAATCATTTACCAACTTCCATCAATGCATCATAAAGAAGAACAAACTACATTGGCATATTTAAGACAAACACGTTCCTATACACGCTATCCACTGGACAGTCCCCTTTATTAACCACAAAGAAAACGTCTACACACATTTTAATTTCCCTCTAAACGTGTCGTCTCCTCAAATCAAACGTCGAGAGCTCGAGAAATGCAGAACCGGAAATAATAAAAATCCGATGTTCTGTTTTTTTATTTTTTATTATTAGCTCCTTGATAAAAGAATATAAAAATGTTCTAACTTTTTTTTTGTTCAAATGTCGTGTCGTGTATTAAAATAGATCTGTCTACGCACAGTTTCTCCCGGAGAAGATTTCTAGGAACGGATGACGAGGTTTTTTTTTCGGGGATGGACGATGTTTTTTTTTTGTTATTCGGCGCTGATATGGTTTCCATTTTGTTTTTTTCTCGATATGCATCACATGGTACATTCTGGTAAAATCCCTCAGAGAGATTTACACACCGATGATGATTTATTCTTTAATAAAGGCAAGTTAGGTTCAATGTTAATGCAAACGATGCGTGAACAGACACGGAGCCCGGGAGCTTTTACGATCATTTTTTAAATTGTGTAAAATCTTGGATTAAGGTCGTAAATTTACACCACAAAAAAAAACTGAGATATTTTCTGAGATTAAAGACGTGTCAACATTTCTCACCAAATTACCAGAAAAAGGTTGATTCCACATTTCTTTACGTACATTTGCGATTTTTTTACGTCCGTAGATTTTTACGCTAATTAAAGCTACGTTGAATTAACTCGGATTAAGGTCATACATGTAGACTTCACAAATGTACAAACAAAAGTATTTTCTGAGATTTAAGGTGTTCATTCGTGGGAACGTTTTTCACAAAATTACCAGAAAAAGGTTGACTTCAATTGTTATTGTAAATTTGTGATTTTAAACTTCACGATTTTTTTTTTCCACAAATTTGCAATTTTTAACGTGATGTTCGTCAATTTTTACGCTAATTAAAGCTACGTTGAATTTGTTTAAAAACTCGGATTAAAGTCACAAAAAAATGTTCCCGAGATTTAAGGTGTTCATTAATGGGAACAATTTTCCACCTTAACTTAATTCATTTTTACGTAAATTTGCTTTTTTTAATTTCATGATTTAAAGTTGTGAATTTAATTTGGTAATTCTGTAATATTTAAATTTTGAGAATTATTAAAGGTTATTTATTTCTTTCAATTTAATCTCGGAATCTATTCAAGTTATTTCTCGAAAACTTATGATGTTATTTCTCAGATGTTGTTTAATTGAATCTCAGAAAATAATGACGTTTTTTCTCCTAAATTTGTGAGTTTTATTCGACAGATTATTCACGTTAATGCATTTAAATGTACACAATGAAACTGAGGTATATAAATGTGTCGTGTTGTCTTAGAAATGTTAGATTTTATGTTAGTTAAATCACATGTCTCTCTGTATATCTTAAAATGTTTTTCTTGATCATTGGTTTTCACATTAGTGATTTTGGGGACAATTTACTAAAAGCTCCGCAGGTTCTGGGTGTTTCTCAACGTCGAGGACGCTTCCTTGGTAGGACATGTCCCTCCGAGTCAAGTCCTTCAGAGGCTAGGCAAGAATCCTTCGTGGCATTCGGAGAACGAAGAATGGAACAGGCGAGCAAGTGTGCGTCATATGAGAGGCCTCGGTAGGATTCCAAGCATCCTGGACATTGGGATTCGATGACGTAGCATCCTTGAAATAGTGGCTCTGAAGGATCCTTCCTCGACATTGAGAAACACCTTCTGATGAAAACGCATCAAATATATATATTTTAAAACAAAACGTGTGCATTGGCTCAGAGTGTTGAGTGACAGCGGGAACAGAAAGCATGGTTTTATTTTAACGTCAAATCATTTAAATTTGTGACATTTTTTTTCTCAAAATCCACATTTTTTCCACATTTCTTTTACATAACATTTTAATTATTTATTTGTGTTTTTTGTTGGTCATTTATTTTGGTGTTTGTTGTTCCATATTGCTCGTGTTGTAATATATTGTTCTGCCACTGAAGCCACGGACGCACCGATATATATTTCATTATATTTAATATGTTTGTTTGTGCCGTACAGTTTGGATCTTTAAGATCGTTGATACTTCAGAGGTGACCTGGATATGATACTTAACATTTAAATAAATTAAAAAATACAAATAAATAAAAACAACTCAAAAAGCTCCTTCTCTCTTTTCACAGATTCCCTCTCTTCTTCTGATAAAAGGCATTTCTCTCTCTTTTCTATTTGTTCATTTTGTGCATCATCTGTGTGAAAAATAATAATAAAAAAAGTTGGAAACACGTAAACTTCTGTCCCAGCAGGAAGACGGTCGGACGCAGTTTGACGAGTCGTCCCTTTTTCTGATTCGCTGGTTTCTACGACAACGATGGAAAATAAAAAGACCTGATTTTATTTAACGGTCGTTTGTTTGCGAGGCAGTGTTCATCGTGTTCATCGTGTTCATCGTCAGGCTCGTCCGGAGACATGGAGATAATAATCATCAGGGAATATGAAACGAAGAGGCAGGGAGAGAGAGAGAGATGATCCCAGTACAAAAACAAAGAAAAGAGTTTTTGGCATATTTTCTATACTGGTTTAAAGGGGAGGAGGACGTGAACAAACAGCGACGTCTCCGATGTTTACACGGCTGTTTTCTGCAACACAGGAATTATATATCCAGAGTCATTTCAAGAAGCGGACATTTTGTGTTTTCTGACATTTTTTAAGCAAAATGTTTATCGGATTATTTCTTTGTCTAAATCTGATATTTAATACATTTTATTAACCACATTTCAATAACCAACATGTGGATGACATTTTGAAAGGTGGGGATAATGTTAAATGAACTTTGGGTAAAATTTAGATGACATTTTCAGACATTTTGGGGAATTTTTTTTTTAATAAATTTAGTGGAAAATGTGATGAATTTTCAGACATTTTGTTTTGTTTCTCCTAAATTAGAGAAATGTACGTCGATTTCTTTTCAACTATTTGTCTTATAATTCCTGTTTTTCGTGTTGCTGTCAGAAAACAAACATTTAAACGTGCGAGACGTTTCGCTTCAGACATGTGACTCGAGTAGAAAAGAGAAAAACCTGCGATGATATCAATAATAATACAACATATGTACAGTGATCCCTTGAATACTCACATTTATCGACAGGCATGAAAATACTAAAATCTGCACTAGAAACGCTCATTTCTGTAGTTTTTATCTTAAATACTTTTTTCTTTGACTCTATTAATACTGAAAAACGTTATTCTCTGTTTTTGTTTTGAAGGCTCGTATGCGTTCACATACACGATGAAAACATTTTCCTGAATATTTATGGCAGAAACCTCGGAACAAACATCTATATTTAATGTACACTCCGCTAACTACCTACCGTCCGCTCTACGCTGAATGTTCTTAAAAAAAGGGAAATATCTTTTTTTATTCGTGGGCTTTTTATTCGGGCGCTCAGACGTCCCGCGGCTACGCTAACTCCTCGTAATAAATACATTAAGGCCGTTAATAATAAATAGAAAATAACATAAAAAAAGAAATCTCGTAAGCACTGTAGGTGTTGGGTTTTAAAAAATACTGAAGAGGCTCGTTCAGTTCTTGTGGCTTTTTTTTTTTTTTTGGATCCTCGGACAAATAAACTAAAAAGTGTATTTAGCGCTGCAGGTAGCTGTGAGGATCGTTCAAAAGGGGAAATAAGCACCAAATTGTCCACGTTTATCATCAGATTGGGCCGTAAGAGCCCGTTAGCCCGTTAGCCATCATTCTGACCATTTTCCAGCCGAGGAAACTTCAGAATTGATCAATATTGGAATTAAATTACATGTTTTTTCACTAAGGTAAAGTCAAATTTACCGTTAAGCGGACACTGAACACCCCCAATACCGTTTATTTTGATCAGAGATGTTAAAGAGAAGCCTCTGAGTACCTCCTGATGTCTGAATTTGGTTTCTACGGGGTCAGAAATGTACGATTAGACACCCAGATCTTTCATATCGGGCAATTTAAAGATATTTTACGGCAAAAAATGACTTTTCCAAGCCATCAATGGTGGCCATCTTGGATTTTTGATTGGTTAACGAGCTTTTTCAAAACCAATTAATGAGCCAATTAAGTCCTTGCGTCCACTTTTGAAAGATTCCCCCTGGTTTACTCAACTATCCGCATCACTAATGGGGGGATTGTTTCCATTTTGGACGGACAGGAAGTCGTCATGTTATTAAAAAAAATAAAAAAAGGGGCGGGGCTAATTGTTGGCGTCCGGGCTCTCCATTGGTTGGCTGCTGCTGCTGCTGCTGCTGGTGGTGTTTTTGCTCCAGTTGGTGTTGAGCAGCGAGGAGGCGTTGCTGTTGGCGATGGCGGTGTTGTTTGTTGTTGTTGTTGTTGTTGTTGCTGTTGCCATGGAGACGTGGATCAGCTGGTCCTTCTGGATGAGCGCGATCAGATCTCGGAGGCGTTGCAGAGACGATGTGGCGTCGTGCTGACGCAGCAGGAGGCGCTCTCGCTGCTCCATGCACTGCTAACAACAGGAAACAGCAGCGTCAACTTCCTGTCTCTGTGTGTGTGTGTGTGTGTGTGTGTGTGTGTGTGTGTGTGTGTGTGTGTGTGTGTGTGAATACCTGTACTAATAAGTGTGTGTGTGTGTGTGTGTGTGTGTGTGTGTGTGTTTACCTTGAGCGTGTCGTTCAGTTTGTCGTCCTGCTCCTCCAGGTGAGTGAACTCCTTCTTCAGTTCTGAGTTTCTCCGGAGCAGCCGCCGCTTCTCCTCCTGCCGAACTACACACACCCCCACACACACACACACACCCCCACACACACACCCCCACCCCACACACACACACACACACACACACACACACACACACACACACCACACACACACACACACACACACACACACACACACAACACACACACACACACACACACACACACACACACACACACACACACACACACACACACACACACACACACACACACACACACACACACACACACACACACACATTAGTACAGGTATTAACACACACACAGTCTTTTATAAATAACCCAGAGTGTTGCTCACCAGTCTTGTGTGTGACGTAGGACTGGACGAAGTTCTGCGGCCACGACATGTTCTCTTTGTTCAGCACCTACACACACACACACACACACACACACACACACACACACACACACACACACACACACACATTTATTATAAACACACATTATAAAACCACCAGACTCAGAGACAGCATCATCCCACAGTCCAATATTAAACACCTGAACTTTTTAAAGAACATCCATCTGTTTGCATCGTGCTAATTATTTCTGATCTGATTCTAAGATCTCTTCTGATCCAATATATCAGGGGTAGGCAAGTAAGTTTGGCCGTGGGCCAATTTTTTGCTGAGCCACAAGATGGCGGGCCAGAACATAATCAAAGCCTAATTCAAGGAATTGATTTTGGTAAGAGGGCGCAGCGCCCCTGTTCCCTGGTTCAGAAAAAACTCTGATATCGCTGATAACCCTCCCCATCAACACTCTGATGCGCAGTCAGATCCGCTGATTGGTTCACTGATGATATAGGCGCCCAATCCAGAGCCTCTGGATAGACCCGCCGAAAGGGAGGCTCGTCGTCTCTAGCCCCATTTCAGTCCCATGTTAAAAGTCAGGGCTATTATCTGTATTTTAACAGACTTATCTTTTAAATTGAGGTGTATTTATTGTTCTCTTCAAAGTTTATTTTTTTCTGAAATTTTAGGGAGGATGGTCCTCCCTTTCTTCAATGGACGAGCCTCCACTGAGTGAGTTATTAACTAGGTAGCAGTGTTATTTAACATGCTTTTATTCTGATAAGTATTGTCAAGTTCTCTGGGTTTTTGTCATTTATTTGAGTGTTTGCCCACATTTGAGAGGCTTGAGGGGCAACAGAGGACGCATGGACAACTGGAATCCTTTTTCCTTTTCTTTCAACTTTTCAAGGACACATTAGGATTCTTTCAGGTTGAAAACCTTTAAAAAAATACAAAATAAATAAATTACAGCATGTTTTGCTTTGCAATTTATTTAATATATTATAACCTAAATTAATCAGTAACCAAGTATTTTACTCAAACTCAATGTATTTATTAGTTAAAGGGGACCTATCATGCAAAATGCACTTGTGTACGTCTTTTCTACATGAATATGTGTCCCCGGTGTTCCAGGGAACTCACCAAGTGTCAGAAAACACAACCCTCTCTATTTTCCTCCATACCCAAATCTCTAAAAAAAGGGGCTGCAACGGATCTGATAAAAACTGATCCAGATTTGAACACTGTCCTGACGTCAGGACGGTGGCGCTACGGCTATTGGGCCAACTCTCCACCTATCAGGGGAATGTGGGGTTGGGCCACGGCCGGCCATTGCCGCTCGAAAGCGCTGGAGACGCTGTAGTACATATGCCAGGCCTGTAAGTGGCGCTGTAGTCTGCCACAAAAGCAGCGAAGAAGACTTCCCACGCATGGTTGCCATGGTTACCCTTCTGTTTATTCTCCGCTGTGGCTTTTGTTCTCCCTCCCCGAGGCAAGTACTGTAATTCTCTCCGGTTAGTCCACCAGCAGATGACAAACACCCACCTCTCCGCCTCTTCCAAGGAACGAGGGGACCGTGCGGCAGAGTTTTCTTTCGCCGGTCAAGATGCCCGTTAAAGTTTAAATCTTCCGGACAAAATTAGAAAAGTGCCGGTCAAAGGTCTTCTTTTTTATTTATTGAGCTTTAAAACAAATGAATAACGACTCTATATAATAAAATAAGAATAAAACACGGAGGACGGAGATCTCTTTTTCTCCCCCTCTTCTGACTTGATCAGAGCACGCTCCCCTCTCCTGCAGGGGGGCGTGGTCAGCTGCAGCTCACAGAATCAGCCCCCTGCAAAAACAGTGCTGGAGAACAGCACATAGAGCGAAATGAGGCATGGCTAAAATGCATGATCTGTTTGGTATTTTGAAAACAGAAACGTATAAATATACCTTATATAGGTATGGCCCTACAATATATCATTTAAATATAGCATGATAGGTGTCCTTTAAATAAGTACTTTAATTGACGTCAGTGCACCCCGCTGCCTGATTGTGCCTGTGCTGTATGTCATTCATTCTCAACATAGATAAAAGTACAATAAGCATTCTTCAGGTGTAGGTAGATTCTCTATTCGGACATTATAGCCTATATGTGCGACTGTCGGTCCGATGTTGTAAAAAAAAAAAAAAAAAAAAAAAAAATCTCAAAATATTTTTTAATTTTTTATTCTCAAAATTACGGGCCAAATATTATTGCTGGCGGGCCAACAATGGCCCGCGGGCCGCCTGTTGCCGACCCATGCAATATATCATATTCCATGTACTTGTATACAGACTCTTCGTGCACTATTTCCATTGTATTTGTATTAACGTGCACATCTCAGAACACTCTCTTGCACTATTGTATCTGTTTTATCTGTTCGATGTCCTCTATATATTCATGTTGCTCTGTTGGAGGACTTCAGTGTGTCATCTGCTCTGTAGCTGCTGAGCTCATGATGAGAGAGACTTGAAAACGAACACATATTATTATTATATTATTAACTTCTATATATATATAATAAAGGTATATTGTAGTAGGGGGTGCAGTACCTTCTTCTGGCACTTGGGGCAGTACCAGGGTCCCCGGGGTGGGGTCCTGAGGGGGGGGGTGCAGGCAGGTGGGATGAAAGGCTCGCGGACAGACGTGACACAGCTGGAGCTCTCCTTCCTCCTGACACACCGCACACACATCCTCATGCTCCACGTCCTCCTGAGGACACACACACACACACACACACACACACACACACACACACACACACACACACACACACACACACACACACACACACACACACACACACACACACACACACACACACACACACACACACACACACACCACACACACACACACACACACACACACACACACACACACACACACACACACACACACACACACACACACACACACACACACGTTTTAGTGCATGTAAATGGTCTGCAAAGGGTTAAAAATCCCAAGGTTCCGGAACACGGTGACATCACAACGGAATACTCGCGCTCCTATTGGCTAGCAGCTCCAACACACATTGTATTGATCGGCTAAAGGGGGCGGGACATCTCTAAGTGGTTGACCAATCGCACCAGAGCAGGCCAGCTAACCAATCAGAGCAGAGCTGGGCATTGTTAGAATCATTGTGCTAACCTGTAACTGTTGCTAGGCAGAATAGTGTCAAAGTAAAAGTACTTAGTTACTGTGTGTATCAGAGCAGACTTTGTTTAAGTACAACAATAAGTAGGTATTATTCTGCATTAAAAGTACATTCGCTATATATAGCATCAAAATAAATAAAATAAAAGTATGTTTTAATGTTAATAAGTTTGTAGTTTTGTTCAAAGCTTAACGTGTGGCTGATAAATAAATGATTATTAGGACAAACAACGTAGCGTGCTGTGAGTCATGTGACCTACCTTCCAGCAGAAATCCTCAGAGTCTAGCATGTAAATGAAGCAGAGCAGAGTTAGTGAAGCACACACACACACACACACACACACACACACACACACACACACACACACACACACACACACACACACACACACACACACACACACACACACACACACACACACACACACACACACACACACACACACACACACACACACACACACACACACACACACACACACACACACACACACACACACACACACACGGCGATATTGAAGCGAGTTACGTTGCTCTCAGACAGACAGCGCAGACACTGAACACTTTAATATTATATGTGTATATAATATATATATTAAATGCGGCAGCTGCAGATTTCTCTGTTAGTTTGTTAAACATGTTTTTATTTCTTTGGTGTGTGTTACCTCGAGCCGACAGGAAGAGCGAGCTGTTCAGATAATGAGACGCCAGACGCTTACGCTGCAAACACAGAGGAACAAGTTAGAATGAAATAAACAGGTTTAATACTGACTCTGATCTGAACAGGTTTAATACTGACTCTGATCTGAACAGGTTTAATACTGACTCTGATCTGAACAGGTTTAATACTGACTCTGATCTGAACAGGTTTAATACTGACTCTGATCTGAACAGGTTTAATACTGACTCTGATCTGAACATGTAGAGAACCTGTTGATCCAGATTTATAACACGAATCTTTCCGTTCCTACGTTCCTCTAACCTGTTAAGCCCTGAGCCTGTTTCTCAGGTCTCAGGCTCGAAAATGCCATTCCCAGAACAAATGCCCATATCTTCCCTTCTAAAAGGGTTAAATTAATAATCTTTTTTCTCAAAGTAATGATAAACCTGTGAGTTGGATGTAGAAAAGTCAGAATCAATATAGATGTTTTATATTTTAAAGAAAATTCAGATTTTACATAGTAAAAAACTGTAAATTATAGTGTCCGTCCAAAAATTCTTTTTTACTTATAGTGAAAACTACCCTTGGATGATGGGTTAGTAGACTAAAAGCTTTAGGAATCCAAAGTACAACATATAAGTACCCTGTATCAAGATTGATGCAAAACAAGTGACATTTGACCTTTTTAGAGAGATTTAGAAAAAAAAAAACACTTCTGGGGTCATTTGGGTGGATTTTCCATATCTCTGGCCCCCCTTGCTCGATTTTGATGGTTGACACCTCTTTTTAACCGTTATGCCGCGTTTCCACTACACGGCCTCGCTCGGCCCCGCTCGGTATGGCTGGGCCTCGTTAGGACTGGCTCACTTTATGGCGCATTTCCATTCAGTTTAGGAACTGGGGCAGTATCTATAGTAACGCAGTGTAGGCGGAGCCGTGACGTGATCTTCAGAGGACCCCAGAAAAACAACACAGCCGTTAGCTGTTAGCACTCAGAGCTCACAGCTCCTCATATCTGTTCAGAAACTAGACAAAAGTTAAACAAGTACAAACCACAGACTGCCTGTGTCATGGTGAATACAGTCGCTGCTTTATTTATGTCTGTATAGGCCGTTGTTGTGAGTGTGGACGGTCGGAGCATATACTGCGTTAGCTTAGCCAATCTCCATTTAGAAAACACGCATTTTAAAAGGTTTTTCTCCTGCCGTCTGTCTGCAGACTTGACAAAGCATTAATTCATGGTTTTTACTAACCGGTATCAGTATGTTGTTACTTCATCATTTTGAAACGTGTATTACAATTAAATCACGGTCAAATATGTCCATCTTGTTGTAGTTGTAGCCCCCTTGCCAGCGATGCTCTCTCTAGTTTAGCATACTCAGCCCGACTCAGCCTCGTTGTCTCTGGCCCTAGACCCACGATTTTATGAGGCCAGAAAAACTGTGAATTAGGACCCGCCGGCCGGTACTAGGCCAAGTGGAAACGCAACCAAAGACGGGCCGCTGACGTCACAGCCCTCTTAAACCGGGCTGCGGGCTGTAGTGGAAACGCGCCATTAGAGCCAATAGAATCGAGGGGAAGTTCCTAAAAATCCATCTAAACATTACCCATTGGTGAATGAGTGATGCGTAGCCAGAATGCCCAAACAGGAAGCTGTCATACACTCTCATAGCAGCTAATATGAAAACTCCGTTATTGACATAAATATGCTGATGGATTATCAGTAATCATTTCAAAGTGACTCAGACACATTGGATTAACCTTTGGATGAACCTTCAGCAGCGTTCTTATCGTTTTGATGCCATTGAACACGACTTTTGATCAGAAACAGCAAAAGGTAAGACAATGTCCCGTGTTTGCTCCGTAAAGCTACGTGGTGTGATGTCTGGGTTTGCTTCCCGTGCTGCGAGTTCTGACCGCTCAGTGATGATACTTATATTTCTGGAATCTGTGGAATCTCAGCTTGCTAATCAATATCTTGTTTGTGCAGATACGATAAGTAATAAGGGTATTTTACCGTGCGTTCTGTGCTAAATCCGCTCAGGGCTAATTCAGAGCCTTTGTTATTACCCTTATGTTTCGTTTAGCTAAAAACGGTTAATATTGTCTGAAAGCTGAGTTTCTTCCCGTTAAGTGGGTATGACACATTCATAGTTTGTTAAATGTTAAGAAGCCCTCAGACGCTGTTTCTTGCAAGATGTTGCGTTTTGCCCTCGCCCGCGGGCCGTGGGGTTTAACTGCCATGTGTTCATCAAAGTGATATCATGTCCTGACCTCGGGCTCGAACAGGCCGCTGTACGCCGGGTTGGCCGTGCTGCGTCTCTTCCTCTCCTGCCTCTTCAGCTGGATCTCTGTCAAAACACACAAACTTTATTTAAAACATCTCCGCCTGACAGAGAGAACACAACACAACCACTCACTGTGTCAATAAAGTTTAGATTTGATGTCTGATGATAGGGTGAGTTTACCTTCCAGGTGTTCTGTGGTGACGAGGCCGAGGGACACCATGAAGGCCACTTTCTGTCAAACGCAGAAGAAGAAGTGTTATTATTATAAACAACAGAAGAAGAAGTTAATGAACATGTGGTGCGAGTGAGAAATTATAGCAGCTGTGAGTCTGTGCTGCGCGCGGCGGTACATTTGAAATGCACCGGGCAGCGGCACACTGTGAACTGTCAGGAAGACTCGGGTCTAACTCAGGGTCTAACTCAGGGTCTAACTCATGGTCTAACTCAGGGTCTAACTCAGGGTCTAACTCAGGGTCTAACTCATGGTCTAACTCAGGGTCTAACTCAGGGTCTAACTCAGGGTCTAACTCAGGGTCTAACTCAGGGTCTAACTCATGGTCTAACTCATGGTCTAACTCATGGTCTAACTCATGGTCTAACTCAGGGTCTAACTCACGGTCTAACTCAGGGTCTAACTCAGGGTCTAACTCATGGTCTAACTCATGGTCTAACTCATGGTCTAACTCATGGTCTAACTCAGGGTCTAACTCATGGTCTAACTAATGGTCTAACTCATGGTCTAACTCAGGGTCTAACTCATGGTCTAACTCAGGGTCTAACTCATGGTCTAACTCAGGGTCTAACTCATGGTCTAACTCAGGGTCTAACTCATGGTCTAACTCATGGTCTAACTCATGGTCTAACTCAGGGTCTAAGTCAGGGTCTAACTCATGGTCTAACTCATGGTCTAACTCAGGGTCTAACTCAGGGTCTAACTCAGGGTCTAACTCAGGGTCTAACTCAGGGTCTAACTCAGGGTCTAACTCAGGGTCAATAACTCATGTCTAATCATGGTCTAACTCAGGGTCTAACTCAGGTCTAACTCATGGTCTAACTCATGGTCTAACTCAGGGTCTAACTCATGGTCTAACTCAGGGTCTAACTCATGGTCTAACTCAGGGTCTAACTCATGGTCTAACTCATGGTCTAACTCAGGGTCTAATTCAGGGTCTAACTCAGGGTCTAACTCATGGTCTAACTCATGGTCTAACTCAGGTCTAATCAGGGTTCTAACTCAGGTCTAACTCATGGTCTAACTCAGGGTCTAACTCATGGTCTAACTCAGGGTCTAACTCATGGTCTAACTCAGGGTCTAACTCAGGGTCTAACTCATGGTCTAACTCAGGGTCTAACTCATGGTCTAACTCAGGGTCTAACTCAGGGTCTAACTCACCTTATTTAACAGAAAATAAAATGGCAACAACAGGGCTTGGGAGCAGTGGTCGCGTTAACCCCCCCCCCCCCCCGTCAGCGCGAGTGAGTGACGAGTTGTGTACAGACTCGACGGGTAATAATGCATTATGACGGAAATGTTACGATCCTGTCTGTCAAAATGACTGACAACGGAAAAGTCTAAAGCCACCACTGCTTGGGAGAAAGAAACGATGTGATATTTGGGCCCATTTTCGCTGCAATGAGGCTGAGAAAACAAGCGAATGCATTGTTTTATCAGAAGGGAAGCAATGTGGCCATAACACAGCTGGTAACAACACAAACCTGACCAGATACTCTCTCAGAGTCTCTCTGCAAAGCTGTTTCTTAATTCTTGATTTATAATCTTATTGTGAAATAAGTTTGACTAAAATGACAAATGATTGGTTTAGCCTAGACTAGTTTGACTGAAATGTTCTATATAATCTGATGACTAAAAAAGACTCAACAGTTTTCTTTGACTAAAATGAGACTAAAATGCTCAGACTTTTAGTCGACTAAAACTTGACTAAATAAAAACAGGATGAAGGTGACTAAATATGACTAAAACTCAAAAGGACATGTAACACAGGACTAAGACTAAAACTAAATAAAAAAATAGCTGACGAAATTAACACTAATTCAAACGTTGTTATTTTGTGTTGAAATGTAACGGGTAGGTTGGATTCGCTCACCTCGGGGTCCTCGTCTTTCTTCGGGGACTTTGGGGGTGATTTGGGAGATTTGGGTGATTTTGGGGTGGGCGGGGCTTCCTGTGTTGGGGAGGTCTGTCTGAGGAGAGACTTCAGTGCTGCTGGGGGTCTGAGGCTGGATTATTATCACCTGGAACAACAACGAATACATAAGTGTGTGTGTGTGTGTGTGTGTGTGTGTGTGTGTGTGTGTGTGTGTGTGTGTGTGTGTGTGTGTGTGTGTGTGTGTGTTGTGTGTGTGTGTGTGTGTGGTGTGTGTGTGTGTGTGTGTGTGTGTGTGTGTGTGTGTGTGTGTGTCTCTCTCTCTCCTCTCCGATGTCTCTCTCTCTCTCTCTCTGATGTCTCTCTCTCTCTCTGATGTCTCTCTCTCTCTCTCTCTCTGATGTCTCTCTCTCTCTCTGATGTCTCTCTCTCTCTCCGATGTGTCTCTCTCTCTCTCTCTCTGATGTCTCTCTCTCTCTCTGGTGTCTCTCTCTCTCTCTCTCTGATGTGTCTCTCTCTCTGTCTCTCTCTCTCTCTCTGATGTGTCTCTCTCTCTGTCTCTCTCTCTCTCTCTCTCTGATGTGTCTCTCTCTCTGATGTCTCTCTCTCTCTGATGTCTCTCTCTCTGATGTGTCTCTCTCTCTCTGATGTGTCTCTCTCTCTCTCTCTGATGTCTCTCTCTCTCTCTCTCTCTCTCTGATGTCTCTCTCTCTCTCTGATGTGTCTCTCTCTCTCTGATGTCTCTCTCTCTCTCTCTGATGTCTCTCTCTCTCTCTGATGTGTCTCTCTCTCTCTGATGTGTCTCTCTCTCTCTCTCTCTCTCTCTCTCTGATGTGTCTCTCTCTCTCTCTCTCTGATGTGTCTCTCTCTCTCTCTCTGATGTCTCTCTCTCTCATACAAATATAAAAACATAAATAATAATATATATATAACTATTAATAAATAAATAACTATAAATGAATATATTGAGCGTCCTCACCTTCACGGCCTCGCTGATGATGGCGAAAGCAACGCCGGGACCCGCAGAGGCAACATGTTGAAGGGGGGAGACAAGGGGGGAGGAAACAGGGTTGCAGGGAGGATGTGAGGGGGGAGGCAACCCCTTTTAGGGGGGAGACAACTGGTTGCATGGAGGATATAAGGGGGGAGGCAACCTGTTTTAGGGGGGATGAAAGGGGGGAGACAACCTCTTGTAGGGGTGAAACAACAGGTTGAAGGGGGGAGACAAGAGGCTGAAGAGGGGAGGGAAGTTGCCGAATGGGGAGGAAACAGGCTGTAAGAGGGGGGAAGTGAGGGGGGAGACAACCTGTGGAAGGGGGGAGACAACAGGTTGAAGGGGGGATGTGAGGGGGGAGGAAACAGGCAGAAGAGGGGAGGAAAGTTGTTGAAGGGGGGAGACAACAGGCTGTAAGAGGGGGGAAGTGAGGGGGGGAAACAACCTGTTGAAGGGGGGAGACAACAGGTTGAAGGGTGGAAGTAAGGGGGGAGGAAACAGGCTGAATGGGGGAGACAAGTTGCTCCAGTGGGGAGGAAACAGGCTGAATGGGGGAGACAAGTTGCTCCAGGGGGGAGGAAACAGGCTGAAGGGTGGAAATAAGGGGGGAGGAAACAGGCTGAATGGGGGAGACAAGTTGCTCCAGGGGGGAGACAACTTGTTCCTGAATGGGGGAAGTAAGAGGGGAGGAAACAAGTAGAAGGGGGGAGGAAACAACAGGCTGAAGGGGGGAGGAAACAGGCTGAAGGGGGGAGGAAACAGGCTGAAGGGGGGAGGAAACAGGCTGAAGGGGGGAGGAAACAGGCTGAAGGGGGGAGGAAACAACAGGCTGAAGGGGGGAGGAAACAACAGGCTGAATGGGGAGACAGGAATGGGGGAGGCGTGGCTCTGGCCGTTGGGGGGGCTGCAGGGGGAGTTTTGGGGGGGCAGCGTTGATCTCTGCAAGCTGATTGGCTGCTGCTCCGATCGGGGGGAGGGGGGGGTCAAACTCTTAGGCCTGACCTGAGGGGGGAGATAGAGGGGGAGAAAACAAGACTTTAGAAACTTTCATCAAAATGTGAAAATCTGTGGTTTAAACTGCCCTCTAGTGGACGTCTGTTAACACTGCAGACATACAACTCAAATCAGTGTGTAGTGTCTCTACTTTAAAGAGTCCTCTCCTGCTGATGTTCAGGTGTATATCAGTATGTAGTGTCTCTACTTTAAAGAGTCCTCTCCTGCTGATGTTCAGGTGTATATCAGTATGTAGTGTCTCTACTTTAAAGAGTCCTCTCCTGCTGATGTTCAGGTTCATATCAGTATGTAGTCTCTACTTTAAAGAGTCCTCTCCTGCTGATGTTCAGGTGTATATCAGTATGTAGTGTCTCTACTTTAAAGAGTCCTCTCCTGCTGATGTTCAGGTGTATATCAGTGGTAGTGTCTCTACTTTAAAGAGTCCTCTCCTGCTGATGTTCAGGTGTATCTCAGTATGTAGTGTCTCTACTTTAAAGAGTCCTATCCTGCTGATGTTCAGGTGTATATCAGTATGTAGTGTCTCTACTATTTAAAGAGTCCCTATCCTGCTGATGTTCAGGTGTATATCATTATGTAGTGTCTCTACTTTAAAAGAGTCCTCTCCTGCTGATGTTCAGGTGTATATCAGTATGTAGTGTCTCTACTTTAAGAGTCCTCTCCTGCTGATGTTCAGGTGTGATATCATATGTAGTGTGTCTCTACTTTAAAGAGTCCTCTCCTGCTGATGTTCAGGGTGTATATCAGTATGTAGTGTCTCTACTTTAAAGAGATCCTCTCCTGCTGATGTTCAGGTGTATATCAGTATGTAGTGTCTCTACTTTAAAGAGTCCTCTCCTGCTGATGTTCAGGTTCATATCAGTATGTAGTGTCTCTACTTTAAAGAGTCCTCTCCTGCTGATGTTCAGGTGTATATCAGTATGTAGTGTCTCTACTTTAAAGAGTCCTCTCCTGCTGATGTTCAGGTGTATATCATGTGTAGTGTCTCTACTTTAAAGAGTCCTCCTCTGATGTTCAGGTGTATATCATATGTAGTGTCTCTACTTTAAAGAGTCCTATCCTGCTGATGTTCAGGTGTATATCAGTATGTAGTGTCTCTACTTTAAAGAGTCCTATCCTGCTGTGTCAGGTGTATATCAGTATGTAGTGTCTCTACTTTAAAGAGTCCTCTCCTGCTGATGTTCAGGTGTATATCAGTATGTAGTGTCCTATACTTTAAAGAGTCCTCTCCTGCTGATGTTCAGGTGTATATCAGTATGTATGTCTCTACTTTAAAGAGTCCTCTCCTGCTGATGTTCAGGTGTATATCAGTATGTAGTGTCTCTACTTTAAAGAGTCCTCTCCTGCTGATGTACAGGTGTATATCAGTATGTAGTGTCTCTACTTTAAAGAGTCCTCTCCTGCTGATGTTCAGGTGTATATCAGTATGTAGTGTCTCTACTTAAAGAGTCCTCTCCTGCTGATGTTCAGGTGTATCAGTATGTAGTGTCTCTACTTTAAAGAGTCCTATCCTGCTGATGTTCAGGTGTATCAGTATGTAGTGTCTCTACTTTAAAGAGTCCTCTCCTGCTGATGTTTCAGTATATATCAGTATGTAGTGTCTCTACTTTAAAGAGTCCTCTCCTGCTGATGTTCAGGTGTATATCAGTATGTAGTGTCTCTACTTTAAAGAGTCCTCTCCTGCTGATGTTCAGTGTATATCAGTATGTAGTGTCTCTACTTTAAAGAGTCCTCTCCTGCTGATGTTCAGGTGTATATCAGTATGTAGTGTCTCTACTTTAAAGAGTCCTATCCTGCTGATGTTCAGGTGTATATCAGTATTAGTGTCTCTACTTTAAAGAGTCCTATCCTGCTGATGTTCAGGTGTATATCAGTATGTAGTCTCTACTTTAAAGAGTCCTCTCCTGCTGATGTTCAGGTGTATATCAAGTATGTAGTGTCTCTACTTTAAAGAGTCCTCTCCTGCTGATGTTCAGGTGTATATCAGTATGTAGTGTCTCTACTTTAA